CACACACACACACACACACACACACACACACGAGCAAATATTATACACATATAAACTAAATTCCATCTTATAGTCTCGTCTTTTGTTACTTATTCAGGAGCACAAGAGCGTGGAGGTGAGGGCTATTGCGTAAACACTTCCTCCCTCAGGTGAACTAGAAGGAGGAAGAGGAGGAGGAGGAGGAGGAAGAGGAGGTAGAGGAGAGGAGGAGGGGAGGAAGAGGAATGGTAGGGGATGGGTAGGAGCAGGTAGAGGGGGAAGAGTAGGTTAGTAGGAAAAGGAGGGGGAGAGGAAGGGAAGGTGGAGGAAGAGGGGCAGGAAGGAGGGAAGAGGAAGGGAAGGTGGAGGAAGAAGAAGAAGGAATGAAAAAGAGCTCCTGTGGCACGTGTGAGAAGGAAAGGGGGGGACCTGGAGGTAGGACAAAGTGGAGGTCTTCAGAAGCCTTAAGGTTGGGTAAACACACCGACCAACCTAACACAGACTACACGGCTCTCTCTCTCTCTCTCTCTCTCGTAATTACTGTAGGTGACACTGTGGGACAAAAATAAGTCTATGTTACTTTGTACCTGTGTGTGTGTGTGTGTGTGTGTGTGTGTGTGTGTGACTGTACCTCCACACACCTTGTTTTTACTCTCATTTACATCGCATTTAAGAGACTAAACCCGTTTGTCGACTAAGTGGATCTAGTGTGACCCCTCCCGCATCCCCCACTGTCTCTCTCTCCAGGATGTATTTTATTGTATTGTATTGTATTGTATTGTATTGTATTGTATTGTAGTTAGGAAGAGATGAGTGAGGTGATCAAGAGAGTCATGCTAGTGAGTAACTACATTGATAAATTTTCCTTCCCTGAAAAATTCATTGATTCCCCGTGTCAGTGTGTGTGTGTAAGTCCGGCACCCAGACCTGCTCCTGTGTTCCTCTCAGTAGTTTTTTGCCTCCGAGGACCTCACAAAGGGAAGAGTTTTTATTTTTATTTTTTTTCACAGGGAAGATTTTTTTTCTGGTTGTATTAAGAGAAGGAACAACACTACTACATCACTCTCGTGTTATTCTCTTGATGGTTCTCCCTCACGTGATGTTTTGTCCAGATGTAGTTATTAGTCTCTCTTAAGCCTTATGGTATAATGTTAAACAAGTAAGGACAATGTTACAAAAATAACATCGTCCTCACTTCTTGGACTAAACAACAACAACAACAACAACAACAACAACAACAACTAATGGCAATAATAAAAATAACTACCAGGAAAACAAACTTCCCTTCAAAATAAAGACACAAAAAACAAGGAAATAAAGTAAAAAGTAAGTAAAGGAGGAAGTGTGAAGGTTGAACAAAAGATAGACCAAGGCATTAGACACCATACAGGTCTGGGGTGTTGAGATAAAGAATTCCTTTGTACAGAGTTCAGAAGGATGAGGCTGACGTGCACCGTTAATGAGGGAGGTGGGGATATTACCTCCTACAAAGACACAGACAAACATTCCCTCTCGAGGTCAATGGAGAACTATACTTTGTGTTTTTTCTTACATTTTTTTATTTTTTTAGAGAGAGAGAGAGAGAGAGAGAGAGAGAGAGAGAGAGAGAGAGAGAGAGAGAGAACTCCTTCAACACGCCACAACTCTCTTACACAACGGAATAACTTCGTAAAACTAAGACGGATCTTTCAGCTCAACTTTGCTAATATATATTATAATTGATTTACTAAGATGGCGAAAGAAATAAAGGAAAAGATTAATAAGGAATGAAAGGACAGGAAATTGGGATAGAAACAGAGAGAGAGAGAGAGAGAGAGAGAGAGAGAGAGAGAGAGAGAGAGAAACATAACATAAGAGAAAGTTAAGAGAAAGACAATTAGAGAAAAAAGAGAGAGAGAAGGACCAAACTTTCTTAATTACTGATATAAATGATTTATTAATGGATATATATTTTTTCCTTCCCTCTGTTAGAAACTTTGATGAATTACCCAAGTTGATGAATCGTGTTGCTGTCCACTTTACTTCCTCTGATAATTAATTAACTTGTATCTCGATAAAGGGAGTAATACAGTACATGTGTGTGTGTGTGTGTCACCCCTCTCACCCCACTTAGGTTATCCAGCGTCATCAAGAGGTAATAACACTCACACAACCCGGAAAATTAACATAATTACAAACATATTGGAAGTATTAACAATATCCGTACCAATAATTCATCCAACATGGGCCAGGATGATCGAATACAGATAATCTATTTACTCAATACTCTGTTGTTGTCTATTGAGTCTTGTCTAACTAAACCCCGCTGGTGTTATTGAAGTCGAACACACGATACAACCCTGAATGCCTTAGGCTCTCAGGTTGGCATCGTGATATCGGGGTTGCTTTATTAAAATTGTTCGAGGTCTTGTGATAAGAAACATCACAGTTAACCTTTAAGAAAACTTATTCATTACTTCAAGAGTTTCCGTAGTCACACCACGGACACGTACACGGACACGTACACGGACACATACGGCTGAGAATGCGGTGCTCGGTTCCCTAACATCGCCATAAAATCGTTCATAAATATATTTGTAACTAATCAATCACATTTCATACAATTAAATTAATCACAACAAGGACCGTAGAAAACCCTAATACTCGAGAAGTGATAACAAGGGCGACGAACATCAGTAGTAATACATTTTAGATTTGTTTATCATCAATATATTTCGTTTTCTTTTAAAATTTGAAAAAGAAAACGAAGACATTATACCAAAATAACTTTAATGGAAGACTCTTGCACTGTAAGAGTCTCCTGAGATGTTGTACTGTAAGTTACAGTACAAAATTTCGGTTAATATATCCGATAATTGTTATATAATATGAAGTTTTGCATCCTTTGAAGCTGCATGACGATGATGTTACATTACAAAACTGCATGATAATGATGTTGCATGATGTTTCTATATCTATGCACGTTGTATGAAGTTGCATGACAGTTTCCATGAATGACATTATCTCTTTGTCAACAATGTAATTTATTATGTACAGTATATTATTATCAATATGTCAGAGCTTTCAACAGCCACTATAAACAAGCTCTGTAATTACCAGATGATGAAAAAGCTTAAATTTGACTTGCATAAGTTTACAGCTTGTTTATTCTTCTGAAATTCAGGTTAATATTAATATCTGTTTCATTTACAAGTATATTATAAAGCTGAGCTGCCAGTGATTGTCTCTTCTTGAAGTTATAATACAAAACATTTATTTGTTCCTGAATATATTGTGTCTCTATCAAATATTCTCTCGTTATGTCTATTAACCTTTATTCCCTCTCTTCCCTTCTCTCTTACTTACTCTAATTCTGGTAAATTAGAGTAAACTACAGAAGTCAATATGCTCACACTTGCATATATTATGTATAAATATAAATAAATATATATACTGTATACACACACTTCTCTGCACAGTTATATTCCTGTTCTGGTCCACGACGCTGGATATTATGTGTGAAGGCATAGCATTAATAATTATGTCCTTCACTCATAATGTTTCAGCTCTACACTTTACTGCATGAGTCACTTAACTAACTGAAGACACACTACCTTGCCCCTAGTCCTTAACACCTCACATGTACATAAAATAAACGTGATTTACAGCACTTCTTTGTAAATGTTTCTTACAGAAGGTGAGCTAAGATGATCTAAGTTCTTTGTGAGTAAGGTAAGTGTCTTAAACTTATTTGATTCACACTTTCTCTGCTTTGACTTGAGGTGACCAGACAGATGGTCATCCTCTGAGGCTAATCAATGAGTTATTCCTCCACTTTTGGCATGATGCTGCTACTCGATACTACTACTCCACACAAAGAGCTCCTCCACCATCAGCCAGCCCTGCCGATAGTGTATTGAATTATTAATATGTACACAAGACCTCGAGTACAAGAGGCACACAGACCTCCACCATGTTCAGGAACCTCTTGCTGGGAGAACGAACAACAAAACCAGCTAAAGAGAAAACACCCGTTACACTAATTCCTATTTCTGTTGATGTAATTGAATAGATTTACAAACAGAAGCATACAAAAGCACAAAGACACACACACACACACACATACACACACACACACACACACACACACACACACACACACACACACAGAGGCATCAATATGTTATGTATTTACAATTTGTTAAAGCCATTACATAATCCCAGCCGTCAACTGTGATTTATAAAGGTAAACAAAGCCATAAATCCCATCACTGAACAACCTAATTAACTGATAACTATTAAAGGCTCTACACTAACAAGTTTCCCTCCGTAATTAACGTAAATAAACATTATACATTACAATATAATTTGCCTCCGTAACAAGTATAATTTATTTAGAATTGAGGAATAATTTGTCTTTGTCTTAGTTACTATTAAAGTAAATTTCAATTAATTGCATATAATTATAAAACTAGATTTCCGTCAATAAGTAAATCAGTTGATTCTAGTTAAATTTAGTATAACGTCGCTATCACTGTATAAATGAGGAAACAATAAACTTCACAACAAAATAACAAACAGCGAAACAAAACACTGAAAGGGCCATTAAACAAATGAGTAAAATAAAAAATAAATAATAATAATATAAACCAAATAAATATACAGAAGGTTAGATATGGTGAGGGAATCAGTGGCACCCTCAGGTAGGTAGCGTAACGTGAACCAACCCGACGGGGAGACGAAAGATCCATCACGAGTTCTTACCAATACTTATGAAATATTGACGCTCGACCCACTGCCTGATCAATACATTATATACGTCTCTGGTGGGTCTCTTAGCTAACATTCACTTCAGGAGTTATTATAAGCTGGATATAGTAGGTGGGGGGGGGAGGAGGAGGAGTAGAAGGAGGTGGAGAGGTAAGGGATAAAGTAAATAAAAGGTAGAGAACTAGTTGATAATAGAGAATTGGTAAAGGGCAATGTGGTGGTGGTAGTGGTGGGGATGTGGTGCTCGGTCTGGTGGAGTATTAGTGTGAGTTTAGTGGCCCTCCTGTGTGGCTGTGGGGAGTCGCTGTCTATTTCGCTTCACTATATTTCAACGACTTTTTATCACAGTGTTAAGATTCATTACGCTCTAGGTCAGATTTTGTCTTGTTTTTGTCCAGATTTTGTCAGGATATCAGTTTAATTGTCTCTAAGCCTCGTTTAAAATCGGTAGAAATCATTAAGGGGGATTTTGATCATATGTTAAGTTTTTGAGTATTTTAATTCCCATTTTGACTTAATTACGATCAAATCTAAACCAATTCTGGCCAAAAAATTCAAGATCTCGAAAAAATCTACAGAATTCAACAACAATTTCAAATAATCTAAACTCGAACTGAATAAGAGTGAAACAGTAGAAAATAAAGGTGATTAATTGTCGACTGAAGACTGGAATACAACTTAAGAAAACCATAACAAACATTTACAAGACCTTGACTAGACTGATGGGAACTTTGACTCGACTACGATCAAAATTTCGACAAGGTACTCGACCAAATCTCGACCGAATCACCTCCCAGTTCTCGACCAAACTAGAAACTATCAATGAAAACTTGGGCAGAGACTATCCAAAAGCAGAACCAGAAATAATTGTTGTCAAAAGCCTATCAGAGGTTGACCGATGATACATTGTCTTCCCTTTGAGCCTTGAGTTGAAGTTCCCACAAGAACGAGACACTCACCCCGTCAAGGAAGACACTCACCCCGTCAAGGAAGACACTCACCCCGTCAAGGAAGACATACACCCCATTAAGGAGGAAGGGGCTGTCCCAAGTCTTTAAATAATTCATTGATTTTATTTAAAAGTCAACTGCTGGTCGTTTACAAGGCCATAAAAAGACTACTGCCGCGTATCACTATAACTCCTAAGAAAAAAAGTTAACCACAGAACCATACGACTTAATCCACCTCTTTAACGGCGATATAAATAAAACTATTCCGTGATAAGAAAGTGAGAGGAATAGATATATCAGATTAAATTCACACCTGGGGTCCTACTTTAAGTCAAGCTTGACGGAGCGACAGTCGACCTAGATCATATGTACACCCGTTAGCGAGGCAGCCAGGCAGTCTGCTGGAAGGATACCTCGGGGTAGGTTGGCCAGACAGCCTCACAGATCAGCAGAGAAGCTGTTAGAAAGTCAGCCAAGAGAGCAGACCAACAGACAGTCAATTCCACAGACCCTACAGACAAGCAGACAATTATTCCGACAGACATACAGACAATCATTCGTATAGTCAAGGAGTGAGAAAACCAAGACCCGCCTTCAAGATGCTGAGTTCAAGCATCAGTCGGTTCGCCGGCAAACAGTCGGATTCCCCACCAGGAGGCTCTAAACAGGGTGAGTACCTGGCCTAGTGACGCACCACCTGAGTACCCACACTGAGTACATGCACTGAGTACACACATCTGAGTATCTATATTGAGTACCCATCATTGAATACACACATCGACATGAGTACCCACAATGCACTTCTTTAACGTTATTAAATAATTTTCGTTCTTGTGAATACGTGACGTCATATTCTGATCTAAAACTGTATATCTTCTAATCACTCTTTCATTGATCCGTGACGTCACGTTCAACCAATGGCAATGCTTTTAAATCTGTGACGTCATATACACTCAAGTTAATGTTAAAGCATATTGAATTTTGTTAAGTACCAGTCGATAACTTTATGACCGTAACGTTTTATGCACTCGAGGTAAGGTGAACATTCTCAATTATTGATGACGTCTGTTTCTCTCTAACCAATGTGGACACTCAAACATTATGACGTCACATTCTTACAAACAAATGTCGACATACATATACATACGCATACATATACTGTACATACATATACATACATACGTACATATGCATACACACACATACACAAACATAAATATACATACATATGAACGTTAGGAGGGTGGGGTGAGATAAACGTTGTACAGAGTGTGACTGTGAGACCCGGGGAAGGTCAACCATGAATAATTACTTGAGGAAGAAGGTCAGACTAGATTGAATTTTATCCATGTGGTGGTGATGGGGGGTGGGGAGTGGGGGGGCGGGTGGGAGTGTGTGTGGGGGGGGTGAAGGGGAGGGAGGCGTGTGTGTGTGTGGGGTGGGTGAAGCGAGTGCGTGTTGGGGTGCTTTTTGGGTTGACCGATGAGAAGTAAATAAAATGGGGCAATATATAGAGGAAGAAATAGAGAAAGAAAGACAGAGAAAAGATTATTAAGAAGTAAAGAAAAAGGGAAAAAAATGAGTGTGTTTGAAGATAAGATAATAAGAGAAAGAAGGAAGGAGTAGACAAAAAAGTAAATCATTGAGCACGCCAAAATATTTTATGAGCGGCGTGAAAAACTCTACGGTGCCGTTTACCCACATTTCACTATCTCGCCTCCGTTATGTTCTATCTTATGAAGTTATCCAACAACAACAACAACAACAACAACAACAATAATAATAATAATAATAATAATAATAATAATAATAATAATAATAATAATAATAATAATAATAATAATAATAATAAAAATGTCTTGCTAAATCAAGTATAACTTTAATATTTTGGTGGAGGAGAGAGAGAGAGAGAGAGAGAGAGAGAATCCTATATAATGTCAGCTGTAAAGAGAAAAAGAGACTAGAAAATAAAAGAGAAATGGAGGAAGGAGAAAACCACATAAAAAAGGCAATTTCCTCCCAGCTGTCCTGCATCGATTATCCTAAATCGATTGAAGGTCTTTGTGTGTGTGTGCTAGGTAGTGCAGATATGATCGAGTGAGTGAGTGAGTGAGTGAGTGAATGAGAGAGAGTAGGGGAGTGATTAGTGTGAGAGTGAATGAGAGTGAGCGATTCCATAGAGAAAATTGAACAACAGAAATTATTATCGTTAGTGATTATAGTAGATACGTTCATTTTCTATTACACGAAGTCAAAGAAAACTAAATATGTTTAGCGTTAACTTAACAAAATTATACCTCGCCTCCAAATAATGTCCTTTTTAACTATTTACCGTGTATAAAACTTAGGGAAAATCACATAAAACTTATCTAATGGTAAAAATCGTATTTAGTAGCAAAAAAGATATATATATATTAATAGATTTAGTTTCATAGTTTCAAGTGGTTTATTTAATTTACATTATTTTTTTATACTGTGTTCTTCAATTGGTATTATAATCTACAGAGAGTTTAATCAGCTTATTAGGCAACCCATAACAATGACTCAGTATCGCTGTTATTGATGGAAGGGATGTAATTTATCCATGGTGAGGGAGAGAGGAGGGAGGAGGGGTGGGAAAAGGTGCCATTTATCTTCTTTCAAGTCCTGCACAGAGGCCATACTGTCAATAAACCGGGTGAAGGTTCTTAGGTGTTCTTGCGTACTTACTCTAGGTATCAATGACGAAGAAGAAGGGGGAAGAATGAAGAAGAAAGAAAGAACAAGAAAGAAAGAAGGATACTAAGAAGAAAAATGAGAAAGGGGAAGAAGAAGAATACGAAGAAATTGGAGAAGGTAGAAGAAGAGAAAGATACAAATTAAGAGACAAGAAGAAACAACGAGCAGAAAATGTAATCCCAATTCCAATGACTAAAACCAGAAACTAAAACAGAAATATTCAAATAACAAATTCACAGACAGATATCACACAATGCCAACGTCAAATGTAATAAACAAGATCTCGTTCCCTCAAGTCAGATCTGAAGACATTTGACACAAGATGTTTTAAATCGTTAGATAAGAAAGTTACGGAGCTCTAGGGAGTTCCACGTATTGCTATTCTTTGGGTTATGTGTGAGTTCTGGTTAGGTTAGGTTAGGTTAAGTGAGAGTATTGGTAGGCAAAGGCTCTCAGTATGGTGGAATATGTAGCCCTAGGCCCTTCAAGATATCCTCACAAACTGATGGAAGATCTTTAGTGATGGTGTCATTATTTATTACTCATTATAACTGATTATCAAGGTATTTACAGAATAGAGAGAATGGTGATATTTCTATATATATGTGTAAATAAGGAAAGTTTCTGGTAAATTTAAAGTCATTATTTTTTCATTGTTTTCTTGACCACTCCTTCCTGCACTGAATCAATGAAGGTAAGTACCACAACACCACACCTCAACTGACAAACAAACATTAAGAAACACTATCGATACTTTTTTTTATTCATAAGAAGCAACAAAGGGAGAGTGGAGAACTGTTGATATATTCAGCAGAGTCGTAACTTACATAATCTATACATTTGGGAAATATTTCAGACATAGAGAAACCATAAATTCATCCATAGTTACTTTCTTGTGTATGATAAGATGAGAAAGAAAGTACAGATAGAGAGAGAGAGAGAGAGAGAGAGAGAGAGAGAGAGAGAGAGAGATCATAAATTGAAAAAGTGAGTGTGTGAGAGTGTGAAAGTAAAATACCAAATGAATGAGTGCTAAAGTGAGTTTATTGAAGGAGAGTGAGTGAGTGGGAGAGGAGACAGTGGCTCAGTAGGAAGTAGACCACGCGATCGTTCACTCACACACCTGCGCTGCCACACACTTTCATTGTGACTACCACGCGACTTATCTCTCTCTTTCTCTGTCTGTCTGTTTGTCTGTCTGTCTCTATTTGCCTCTCTCTGTGTCTCTCTGTTTTTCTCTCCCTCTCTCTCTATTTAATTGCCTCTGTCATTATTTCTTCTCTTTCTTTCATTAGTGATTTTTTTTCAACCTGTGATTCTCAACATTTTATAAGTGATTTTAACTCGTGATTTACTCCTTCATATAAGTAAAATAAGTAAACTTTAGCCAGTGACTTATTCCAAGATATAAGTAACAATAAATGTGTGACTTACAACATTTTATAAGTGATGTATTGTGTTGGACAAATATAGTGTGAAAATACTTAAGACATGTTTTCAGACGTAAAGTGAGTGAGTGTTGATAAGTGATAATAGTATTCATTAAGTGTTAAGTGTTTGATTAATGTACACAGCACTACAGTGAATTTTATAAGTAATGTCTTGTCGTGTGTTGTAAAAAAGTAACCACCTGTGTGTGTTCTTAATTAAGGCCAGTTTACCTGTTCTTATGTAATGGTTGGCTCACCTTGTGTTCTGAGATGCAGTGTTATAGTTAATGGATGATGTAAAGTTTTGGTAATAAGGTCTAATGGTGTTTTAAAATGGTTAAAGTGTAAAGTAAAGGAATGTTTGTCTGTTTTTTTTTGTCTTTCTGTCTGTCTCTCTTTCTGTCTCTCTCTCTCACTCCATTATCTCTCTCTCTCTTCCTCTCACATCCCCCTTACAACCATCCATTGCAATACCTGTCCACCCTCTTCCCCTCCGCCACAATACCTCCCTCTCTATTCCCCAATATTCCTCCTCCCTCTGTCATCTCTCTACCTACCTTACCTGTGCTTCTAATCATGATATATATAAATTTTCTCAACTTTCTCTACTTAATGAAACTTTATTCAAATTTATCTACACTGAATATTACTCACCTTAACATCTTCCAGGATACAGGTGCGGTAATTAATATGTAACAGGTAACTAATAAATAACATATGAGAGTCACTTACCTGTAGCTCTGTCTGTTGTACCATAAACCCAGTTCCCGGTAGTGAGTAATCTTGGCGACAAAAATGCCTGAAATGAAAATAAATACACGAGGTGAGATTAGACTATTAACTTTGAAAAGCTGTATATCATAACTCACACAGGTAAACACAGTGAAAAGAACTCTTGAAAATATATAACCGGAATCATCCCTGGAAGTCGAGGCGTTTAAAACAAGTAAAGAAGAACAACTATAACAACAACAACAACTGCAACAACAACTCTCTTTATCGCGAGCTCAGGTGCGGAAACACACACACACACACACACACACACACACACACACACACACACACACACACACACACACACACTTTTCGCCTTACCACCTTGATGAACAGCCTACGAGTTCCCAGCGTTGAACAGTTCCCAGCGTTGAACAGTTCTCAGCGTTGAACAAAAATGAACTACGACCCTTCTGTTGGCTAAACTACAAACACACATTATTTTCAACCTCTTGGGTACAGTTAAACCCCCACATTTTAACATGAATTAATCGCAATTTAGCCTAAAGTTAATTGAGGTAATATTTTAAGTGAGCTGCTGCGGTTCTCTCAGGTAGGGAAAGTTGTTAGGCTGGAAGAGTTCTATTTTTTATCTATTTTGTTCTGTTTATTAGTATTAGTAGTAGTAATACTAGTAGTTGTAGTCGAAGTGGGCGTGTGTGTGTGTGTGTGTGTGTGTGTGTGTGTGTGTGTGTGTGTGTGTACATACCATCACCAACCACCACCACAACCATCAACCACCACCAC